TCCAGGTCTCGTAAGGTGAGCATCCAAACAGCCTAGGCTCCCACAAAGCCAATACATGCAATAGGATCAAAAACCCATTGCCATTGTTCTTGATGTCTCAGTAGTCCTCATTGTCCGCTATGTTCAGTGAGACCTGTTTTAACCCAGGCTTTTTCAGACCCAGGTCAGCTGGCCTTGGTGAGTTCCTGACACTTAACCTCTCTTAACCTATGTTGCTCCTTGAAAAATGAAAATATCCCATGGTTATTATAAGGACCCAAGGAAATATCATCAAACAAAGTGATTAGTCCATACAGTGTACCTGGCATAGTGCACAAATGTGTCTAGGCAGCCCATTCCTAGGCCGCGTCAGGATTCACAGTGGCCTGCCTAATTGTGGGGCCCCTAGAACTATGAAAAGAAGATAAGAGGGGAGAGAGGTCAAAATAAGAAAAGACAGCTACTCTGTGATTTAGAGACTCTTAGGTCCCAGTTTAACATTTGTGGAAAGCTGGGCATGGTAGCACATACCTGTAATCCCACCACTCATGAGGCTGAAGCAGGAGGATCACCTCAAATTGGAGGCTAGCCTGGGCTATATAGCAAGAGGCTGCCTAAGAACAAGAAAGCAAACAAGCAGATCTGAGGAATGAGCTGACCAATAAGAACTGGTGACTCTGACACACAGGGTGACTAACGGGGTCATCAACTCCTGAAGCCACTCCTAAAGCCAGTCCCCACATCTGCAGTGCCACACAGGGATGCGTCTGCATCCTCCTGGCTAGATGAGCACCCTTCACCCAGTTAGCCGCATGGCCACATGACCATGAAGGGCTCTGTCACAGCAGAGACAGCACAGCACAGCCCTGTCTGTCTGCTTGGAAATTATGGCCATTTGGACTGTGCTTCCTCCCACTAGGGCAGGAATCGAGAGGCAAAGAAAGGCACAGACTGGGGCTCCAAAGGGCATCGGGGAGCCCTTTCTAACTCTATGAGGCCAGCCACACTACAAACAAACACCTCCCATGCACCTGTCTGAGCTAGCATAAATCTGGCCACAGTTCTCTGGCACAGACAACTTAGCGGCCAAAGCTGGTGGCCAAGTCTCGGGATGAGCAAGGAGAAATAGGCTTTCCTGGCAGTCTTGCTGGCCCATGAGGATTCGATTCTGGGAAGCCAGGTACAGTTTCCTAGCAGGACTAGAAACAATGCCCCCCCCCTCACTGAATCGATAGTGAGAACACAGGAAACTCAAAGCCCCGATGACGATGAGCAGAAGCCTACTGTCCTCAGTTCTCAGGGTTCACGTTGCCTGAGAGACCATGCCAGCTTTGGAGCAAAGCAGAGATGCTCTCAAGACAGTTCCAGGTGTCTCTGTCTCCCTGGATGCACCGTGGATCCAGCCACCACCCCGGCTACCACACAGGGAACCTTAATAGCGGGGAGTCAAACATCAACAAGGGGGATTTGATTGTCAGTTGCATACTTGGTACTGAATAAGAGTGTCCCTACCAAAAACCATAATCTTGGCCAAGGGCCACGTATGGAGACCATTCTGCAAGGAGTGACCCTAGGGAAGAGAATGTGGGACTTAGGAGCCACCATAGCTAGGCAGTGAGGAAGAGGCAAGTGCTGGATTGGTCACTGAGTGACTTTGGGGTGCTGTGTGGGAGCCTCTCTCGTCCCAGCCCCATCTGCTGCCTTACCTGACACCTAGTCCCTTTCGGTAGTTGAGATTCACTTTGATCTGGGGGGAGATATTGCGGTCCTCGCCCTGGAATGGTGACTCCATGGGGGGTGGCTCATGCTTCCCTTGGTTCACTTCAGCACTGTCTTCTTGGTCTCCATCTGAGGTCTCCAGCCTGAAAGCTGGGGGGCTGGAAGGTGAAGTCATCCTGAGAGGGAATGATGCTCCTTACAGCCGGAACTTCTGTGGTGATGGAGATGCCAAGGCTCTCATCCCGCAGGGGAGCAGACTAGGCTGGGACCTGGAGAAGGTGATAGCGAGAAGCTGAGAGTAGGAGCTGGGGAGGAAGCGCAGTAAATAGAGCGCTTGTCTGCCACGCAGGGAGTCCTGGCTTCTGTCTTCAGCAAAGCATAAGCCACCTGTGATCCAAAGCAAGATGCTGGAGAGATGGCTCAGGGGTTAAGAGCACTGATTGCTCTTCCAGAGAGAAGCAGGGTTCAAATCCCAGCACTACAGGTTGGCTCATAAGCCCTCTGTAACTCCCTTTCCAGGGGATCCAATGTGTTCTTCTTACCTCCACAGCTCCCAGACCAGATACACACGCAGTGCACAGACACTCACACACAGAAGATAAATAATTAATTTATAAAATATTTTTAAGAAGAGGTAGGAGCATCAGGCAGTGAGTGACCATGCATGCCTTTAATCCCACCACGTAGGAGGCAGAGGCAGGCCTGGTCTACAGAGCTGGTTCCAGGACAGCCAGGGCTACACAAAGAAACCCTGTCTGGGAAAAACAAAACCAAAAAAAGGAGGGGGGGAGGAGTAGGAGCAAGAGGATCAGAAGTTCAAAGTCATCCTCAGCTACATAGAGTTTGAAGCTAGCCTGGTCTACTCTGCCTCAAAAAATAAGAGAAAGGAAGGAAGGAATTGGGGGATAAGGAGATAGTTTAATCAGCAAAGTGCTTGCCACACAACCTGGAGGACCTGAACCTGGACCCCCAGTCCCCATATAAAAAGCCAGACACTGAGGTATATCTTTAATTTCAATGAGAAAAGGCAGAGACAAGAGACTCCCTAGGGCTCGCTGGCCAGCCAGTCTAGCTGAATTGGTGAGCTCAGTGAGGTGTCCTGTCTCAAACAATGAAATTGAGTGTGCCGAGGAGGACATTCCATATTTACCTCTGGCATCTACACACATCCACATCCACAGGAAAAGAAAGGAGCTGGGTGGTGGTGGTGCACGCCTTTAATCCCAGCAGTCAGGAGGCAGAAGCATGCGGATCTCTGTGAGTTCCAGGCCAGCCTGGCCTACAGAGTGAGTTCCAGGATAGGCCCCAAAGCTACACAGAGAAACCCTGTCTCAAAAAAAAAAAAAAAAGAAAGGAAGGA